TTTTGGAATACAAGATTTACACTGCTTTTGTTAAATTTATTCCTAAGAAATTTAGCTTTTGATGTTATTAATTTCACTTTGGTTTATTCATTGTTACTATAAAATGCAATTTGTTATTTTATATTGATGTCATACCCTGCGAATTTGCTGAAGTTACTTACTAGATCTAGGAGTATTTTACTTAATTATTTAGGATTTTCTATATGTAAAAGGACCTTTCCTGTGTAAATAGAGATGGTTTTACTTTTCCCTTCCAATCTGTATGTCTTTTATCTATTTTTCGTGCCCATTGCCCTTGCTAGAACCTCCAGTGGAATGTTGAATGTGAGTGGCAAGTGCGAGCATCCTTGTCTTATTTCTGATCTTGTGGGAATATATTTAATCTTCACCATTATGGATGATGGCAGCTGTGGATTTTTTATAGTTGGCCTTTATCATGTTGAGGAAGTTCCTTTTAATTTCTACTCTGTTGAATGTTCTTAAAATGAGGGGATATTAAATTTTGTTAAATGCCTCTATTTAGTGTACTGAAATGGTCACGTGGTTTTGCCCTTTATTCCTTTGGTATGACGTTATACTAACTGACATTTGGATGATTAGCTGGCCTTGTACTCCTAGGACAAATCCCATTTGGTATAGGGAAGTTTGTAATTCCTATGTCTTCTTGGTAAGTTGGTCCTTTGATTTTTATAAAATGCTCCTCTTCATCTCCAGTAAAATTGTCTTAACATCTATTTTGTCTGTTATTTGTTTAACCACTCCATCTTTCTGACCTTACTGCTTTAGGGTATATTTTTTCCATCCTTTTATTTTCACTCTATTTGTGTTTTTGAATCTAACAGTGTGTCTTCGGGGCGCCTGGGTGGCGCAGTTGTTCGAGTGACTGACTCTTGGTTTCAGCTCAGGTCACCATCTCAATGTCATGAGATTGAGCCACCCGTCAGGCTCCATGCTCAGAGGAGAGTCTCCTTAGATTCTCTCTCCCTCTGCCCTTCCCCCCACTCCCCTGCTTGTGCTCTTTCTCTCTAAAATAAATAAATAAATCTTTTAAAAAAAACTGTATCTTCTGGAAATAGCATGTAGTCTTACATTTTGGTTGTTGTTAAAACTAGACATTTTAATGTCTTGTAGCGATTCTTGTTACCGATTCTTCCCCCTCCCCCAGCTCCAGCTGTTACTGCAATCTGGTTGTCTGTATAGTGACTTAGATGGACTTGTTTTGGTAAAGTCTGCTTCCCTACGCAGACTTTAATATTGTCTTTCGGCCCATTTGGTCTTGGGCATACTCATAATCTCCGTGACCTCTTCCTCTCTCAGCCAGGATGACAGTGCGTTGAATAGGATTCCCTTTGACTCTTTCCCTGATATCCCTGTTAAGTTCTGGCTGGTCTGTTGTCCCTATGAACATTATATCTAGCTCTTAGCTTCCAGTAATTGCTAGCTGAATGATCTGTTGTGTTCGACAGGCCTTAAATTGCTCCACAGTCTGATCCAAATAAAGTCAGGCCCTTTTCATGGAGATCTTGAAGCCAGTCTTTGACACACCTCTGACCCAATGATGACTCTTCATATCTGTTTCTTTCGCTAGTTCTTCTGTTATACTTCTAAGTAGTCTACCTTTCACATATTGGTATCAGGGAGCTACTGGCTCTTCTTAACTTGAACTCTACCTAAATCTCCGCTGTCTTTGACAGTCCCCTTAGGCTTGAACTTCCCTACTTTTCCTCCAAGTAAAGTCAGTCCCCTTAGAGATACTTACGGAGTTCTCTGTTCTAGGCCTGTCTTCCCCCTTAACAGAACGTCGGCTCCAACACTCTGGAAACGGATACAGGGATAGCAAACTGCTTCTCTTGGAATAACACTCCTGCTTTTATGAATAAGTTCCTAGATAGAGGCAGTAACTCTCAGTCTTCTTGGCTTGTCTTCCCTGGTGTGGAAACTCAGCCCTATGAGTAAGTGGTGGTGAGAGTGACTGGGGCCCAGTATTCTTGGCCTGCCATGCTTGGGGTAGAATTTCAAGCCTATAAGTGAGCAGCACTGTATAAAAGAAGGGATCTCCAGTCACACTATCCTGCAATGCAGTTTGTGTAATGCATTGCTTGGGGGTGGTGGGTGGTGGGTGGGGTGGTACTGATGGCCAATACTGACTGTCTGACTTTCTGAGTAGAAATTGTAGCCTAAGACCAGGAGCTAGGGTTAGAGGGAGCCCCATCCTCTTGACTGTGCCTGCCCAGAGTGGAGTTTTCCTCATACTGAGTGGGGAGGTAGGGGCAGAAATAGGTCATGACACAGACTCTCACAGGTTTTACCAATATTTAGAAGATTTATTTTAATTGCTGAATTCCCAGAGGACAATTTCCACAGACCAAGGGGATGTTCTTTTTATTTTCAATAGCTCTTCCCAATTACAGTTGTTTCTCTAACACTAGGGAGAGGGTCTATAGAGCTCCCCACACCACCACTCTAGAAGTGTTTCTCCCTTGCTTCCTTTTTTCACTCACTTTGCTACCTTTGGTTTGCACCACTCATGTAAGCTTTGTCTCACATAGTTTTCTAGAGAACCAGGACTAAGGTGATTTTAGAAAGAATGTTTCATGTGGCTGTGTGAAAGCACTTTTCCATGGGTGGAAGTGATACCAAGGGTGGACCCTGCAGGCAGGGCTGGGGGACTGGGGGTTTGGAGGAGACAGCAAACCTCAATCTGGAAGACAAGGTGGCTAGTTGCTGTAGTATTCACGTTTTCCTCTCACCATCCCCTGACTTTGGCTTCACTTCTCTGATTGTGATTGTACTCTCAGCTACCTGATGATTGTATGACAAAGCATGTTGTAGTATATTCACAAAGATTTGAAACTTTAGAGCAGGAAAAGAGACCTGGAGTGGACAGCATCTTCAGTTTATAGATGACAAAAGGTAAAATGTTTTTCCCAGAGTGTAGCAGGTAATTAAAGCCAAAGAACAGAGGTTTTCTGACTCTTGTTTTGGTCTTGTCGTGGAGCACTATGGGAAATTCTTTCCCATTTCTTTACAGAAAACAAAAGTAAAACAGATGTGCAAATGAAAAGACAAATATCTAGTCTAAAGAAGTTTTCCACTATAAGTTTATGCATGTCATCTTTCTTGAAAAAAATATTGACCCAATATGGTGACCTACTAGTGGTCAACCTCTAAATTTAGTGACTAAATCAGATCTATTTTTAGAGCCAAACTGCAAAGGAAAGAGAAAAACCCATATGTGAGCTCTTAATCCTTGTCTTACTAAGAAGTTGCATCTAGGTGCTAGCCTTCCTCAACAGAGGTAGCTCTGTTTTCCAGTGATCTCTGCTGAGCATGGGGTGGAGGGTCGGAGTGATCCACACTCACTAACATGAACCAAATATATATATATATATATATATATATATATATATATGAATTGTCCTGCAATATGATATGGAAAAGGCATTGAGACTGTTTATCAAGACTAATTTGCTTTTTCTATTGAGCGCTATTCCGCATTGCAACAGAGTTCTTGTTTTCATATAGCCTAAGAAATGTGAGGCAAAATAATAATACCAGCATTTATTAAGTGCCACTTAAATGCCAGAGACTTTTGGGGCGCCTGGGTGGCTCAGTGGGTTAGGCCGCTGCCTTCGGCTCAGGTCATGATCTCAGGGTCCTAGGATCGAGCCCCGCATCGGGCTCTCTGCTCAGCAGGGAGCAGGCTTCCTCCTCTCTCTCTGCCTGCCTCTCTGCCTGCTTGTGCTCTCTCTCTGTCAAATAAATGAATAAAATCTTTAAAAAAAATGCCAGAGACTTTCCTTGCTTTATCTCCTTTAATGCTTCTAGTCAGTCAGTGAGGTAGACATCATTATCCTCCCCCTTTTCAGAAAATGATGCTTTGAAAAGTAACTAATTTGGTTAAGGTCACTTGGCCAGATATAGTAGATCCATGGAATCCATTTCAAATTCTTCCATAAACCCTCTGTGGCACTCTTTTCAAACAAATAAACCATAATAACAAAATTCTTTAAAATGAAAAATTTGGATGTGCCATGGAAGGTTTTTTATTACAAAGTTTTAAATGTATTTCATAAAACATGTTTTTCTGCTCTTTTTTTTTTTTTTTTTCCTGTGTTAAGTTCTTGGAAACCTGGAATTTTCTTTGAATTACCGCTCATGAGTTTGGTAATGTGTTATGCTGCCTCCTTATCCTTCCTAATTTACAGAGACCATATGATTCCAGGATAACCTGGCTGACACCCATAGTCTGACATTAAGTATCAATCGCTCTTCTCTACTCTCAAAAATGCCCTTGTGTGGATGATAATTACAAGACCACCTTAATCATTCATCATTAAACATGCAGAAGTGTCATTTTGCGGCTGCCCACTAGGTGTCAGCAGCGTAACCGCAGGAAAAACCGTCAAGGAGAGCATTTCATTACAAAAGTCCTATTAGAGCAAATAATTAAGTGCAGGAGCTACCTGCAGCCTTGCCCATTCAAAACAAGTGCGAGAGAGCAGGGGGAGGAGAGAAGGAGCAGGTGCAGGACAGGTAGCTTCTTACTGAGACCTTGTGGAGAGGGAAGGATCGCCTTCCTAGTCAGAAGGACTCCAGTGATACCTGGAACGCACACCGTGGTGTCCTTCTAAATTTTCACTCACAAGATGAAACCAGTGCCGTGAAGTGAGGAAACAGCTTTGAATGAAGACATGTTTTTCCCCTTCCCAACTGTTCTTCAAATCACGATCGGATGAAGGTCACACAGGTGACTTGGGCTTTACCAAGTCTACTGAATGACTGACGCCTTGGAGCCAGAGGCTGAGTTGTCTGGACACAAATCCTTTAAAGGTGATTTGAAAACATCGACACTCAGAATTCCATGGCAAGCTCGGACTCTTCCTGGAATGACCCACAGACTGTATGTATATTACCTTTGACCCAGGTAGACGCCTCTGTGCTCTAGAAACCCTCCTCGCGGCAGATGTGTGGCACACAACCGCACACGGGGTAGGAGAAGCCCACAGCATGGGTTTTCCAATGCTTGTGCCTTTCAGTCCTTGGAGCTGGTTGCTACTGCTGGTGGCCCTCAAGTGTTCTGAAGCATCTTCAGATTTGAACAAATCCACAAACTCCACTGCCCAGCATGAACCTAATGTTCGGTTTGCTGCTGCCAGCTCAGAGGCCGATGAGAAGATATCTGTTTTTGCCCTGGATTATGACTACGTACAGATTCCTTATGAGGTCACCCTCTGGATACTTCTAGCATCCCTTGCAAAAATAGGTAAGTCCCCCAGACACCTGGTTGTGGGAGTTGTTCTCCACGTGAGATAATATATGTGAACTTTCACATACATTTCACTTGTAGGTGGTGAACTACATGGATTTTAATGGTTACTGCTATTAGATTAAAAAAAAAATCTGTTCCTTTGAGTCAAGGGAAAGTTGTAACTGCTTTTTATGAAGCCATGTAACAACTCAGGATTGTGCTTTGAAATTTGAGCAGATTTCTGGGTCCTGGGTTGTTTTGATTTCTTCTTATTTCAGGGTGACAACTATGGGACATTATTTGGCATGTAAAAATCTCGAGTTCTATGCATTAAAAACTAGGGAATAAGGCATTAGACCTTGGAATGATACCCATTGGAAATTTCAGGAGCACATAATGATTCTTCTGTAAAATAGTCTTCCTTCATTCTTGGCCATGTAACTGTGGGCTTCATCAATGACTCCCATTGTTTATTCTTTAAAAGTGACATGTGCTCCTTGCAGAATGACAGAAAGCAAGGAATAAGACAATCACAGGCCACTCTTATTTCACCCAGTGGTGGGGTATGGGGTCGTAAAGGAGGATATGTCAGTAAAATACTGGTTTATGCCTGAGCCAAATGGTGCCAGTGGGGTACCTCTGCTTTCCTTTGTGAAATAAAGGGAATTTCAAGTTGATGGATTAAATTCTAATCAGGGTTATTTGTGCCAAACCCCAAAATAATGGTTTACACCCTATGACCCTTTAATCCCTAACTCCACCCCCCCTTCTCCCTAAAACCAGCTTATTCCAAAATGAAAAACTGATACAATTATCTCAGTCATTACGCAGGACATCTCCTTTGCCTCTGTTAGGAACTTTATTACTTCGTAGATAAGTTGTCCTATTGGGATAGAATCTATGATTCATTTGGATGCTTATTTATAATTTTCCCCTAGCATGGGTGTGAAACAAGGGTTGAGCCTTGGGATTTGGCAGATAACTCCTAGGGATCAGGTCTGTGGGCTCCGTCTCCCCATCTTACTCCCTCCCGGGGGTGACGGGGTACGAGTGTAATCTCTAGATGCCCTTCACAATTGCTACTCATTTTGAGCTAGTAAAGTGTGAAGAGTGAATGGAAATTGTTAATTAGAAGAATTCCTGTGTGATTTGTCCAAGCATTAAATTTCACAGAGGGTCTCCTGTTATTTCTCAAAAGTGCTCCAGTGAAAATGGCTTTCTGATGGGATAACATTCTCAGTTCAGAGGTAGGGTTCTACCACCTTTCACGCAACTGCGTGGGCGCTGATATCGTTCGAAGTGATCTTATGTGGATCTTGTCTTTTCCTGGGTGAACAATACTGTCCCCACCCACTCCTTCCCTCTTTACAGTAATGGAAGAAGTTGGGCTGGGAATCAAGGAACTAGAGCTGTCACTGACCAGCTAGTCACATTGTCTAAATCTTTGCTGTGAAATTACTCTAAGACCTCCTTTTGGTGTAAATAAGGATTTTCTAGTGGCAAAAAGGTTTACATTTTATGTCAGTGAACTGCTCGATGCAGAAAGGATATATTTTATCTTGGTCTTATATTAGCATAAAATGCAGATTTTTTTTAGAATATTGCACGTATCCAGACCCACAATGTCTAGAAGCTCAGAGGATGGTAAGGACGCTGCTATTCACAGGACTAAGGGCTTAAATGGTCTTGATTTTCATTTTGGTAAACTGCAGCATACTTTAGAAAAAGTAACTTCAGTAGGTTATCATTTGGATCATTCTTTTTTTTTAAAGATTTTATTTTTTATTTGACAGAGAGAGACACACTCACACACACATAGCGAAAGAGGGAACACAAGCAGGGAGAGTGGGAGAGGGAGAAGCAGCCTTCCTGCTGAGCAGGGAGCCTGAAGCGGGGCTTGATCCCAGGACCTGGAATCATGACCCGAGCCAAAGGCAGATGCTTAACAACTGAGCCACCAAGGTGCCCCTGGATCATTCTCATTCAAATACAATTTCATACTTTCTAGCCTTTAAGAACTCAGACTGTTTCTATCTTGTACACGAAAAGATGGCTACATTTAGTGATTATTATTTCTTATGTCAAGTACTGGGCTCATAGTTTTATATATGGTGGCTCATTTGCTTGGGGCAAAAAAAAATGACATAAAACTTTCACACATGAAGAATCTATAAATTTTTTAGATTCTATATTGTGAAACTTGAATCAAAATATAATTAACAATATTATATTTAACATTCATTCTTTTTTTTTAAAGATTTTTATTTATTTATTTGACAGACAGAGATCACGAGAAGGCAGAGGCAGACAGAGAGAGAGGAGGAAGCAGGCTTCCCACAGAGCAGAGAGCCTGATATGGGGCTGGATCCCAGGACGCTGAGATCATGACCTGAGCCGAAGGCAGAGGCTATAACCCACTGAGCCACCCAGGTGCCCCTTAACATTCATTCTTTCACTCAGTCATTCTGTTGACACACATTTTTTGAATTCCCCTACCACACATCGTAATGACCACGGTTCCTGGCCTCAAGGGACTTAGCATAATGGGGAAAACAGATGAATCTAGCACTGCCTGGCAGGCGCTCAGACACAAGAACATCACGACTCTCCCCCAATCCTTTTTAAAACAGCCAACTCTATGTGTTATAGAAGAATATTATAGAACAAAGATAATACAGAGTCATCTCAGGTTTTGTTGTTTATCTTTTATTTTAGTTCCACTCCTTGGCACATTACAGAAGTGTGTTCCTTGAGTCATTGGGCAGAATGGAATGGTAGGACCATCTCTGACTTTCAGGCAGGACGTTGCTATCAGTGGCCATTTAAATTTCAGGCACTGGAACTGAAAACTCTAAGTGACAACTCAGGATGGATGCTGTGGTCCATCATGAAAGAAAATGAGAATTGGAGAGTGTGATGCACATGGTGTTTCTCCTTATATTGCCCTACTTTACAGTGCACAGTGCCTCTTCCTGCCACCACCGCGTAGGTGTAACTTGGCTTAGACAGGTGCATGTTGGATCCATTTCGGGAAACTTGATTCCTGGAAGAAGGACCAAACTGGGAAGACACAGAGCCTGAGGAAATCACACTATAGGCTCTTCCACCTCTTTTACATGTTAAAGAATTCAATGTAGTTAAAATGAGCACAATTAAAGAAGAGGAAGAAGGAGGAGGAGGGTGGGGAGGAGGACAAGAAAGACGTTGTTAAGGAACGGGAGAGAGCAGGACTCTCAGACTCTTGAAGGAGACCTTAAACTGGTCTTAAAGCCAATGTGTAGGCTTGTGGTTTTGGACAGTCCCTTGATACTAATTATATCCTATCATAATAACCTGCCTGCTGATTACAAATGAAATTCAAAGCTGTGATCAGGTGAACCTACAGAGTCTTGGATGGCTGTCTTTTATTTTTATTTTAATTTTTCTTATTTCAAGTTTTATTTAAATTCTAGTTTGTTAACATATATGGTAAAATTGGTTTCTCATAGAGAATTTAGTGATTTGTCACTTACATGCAACACCCACTACTCATCACAAGTGCCCATCACCCATTTAACCCATCCCCCCCCACCCACTTCCCTCCATCAACCCTCAGTTTGTTCTCTGTAGTTAAGAGTCTCTTATGGTTTGCTTCTCTCTCTCTCTCTTTTTTTTCTTCCCTTATGTTCATCTGTTTTGTTTCTTAAATTCCGCATATGAGTGAAATCATATGGTATTTATCTTTCTCTGACTGACTTATTTCACTTAATATAATACACTCTAGCTCCACCCACATTGTTATAAATGGCAAGATTTCATTCTTTTCAATAGCTGAGTAATATTCCATTGTGTATATGTGTGGGTGTGTGTCTGTATATATATACATACATATATATACACGTACATCAACTTATGAATGGATAAAGAAGATGTGGGTGTGTGTCTGTATATATATACATGCATATATATACATGTATGTATACATACATGTAAATATATATGTGTATACATACGTGTGTGTATATATATATATGTATGTATATATATATATATACAGCACACCCACATCTTCTTTATCCATTCATAAGTTGATGGACGTGTGGGCTCTTTCCACAGTTTGGCTATTGTTGATAATGCTGCTATAAACACTGGGGAGCATGTGCCCCTTTGAATCTCTATTTTTACATCCTTTGGGTAAATACCTAGTGTGCAATTGCTGGGCCATAAGGTAGTTTTATTTTTAACTATTTGAGGAGCCAACAGGAGCCACTGTTTTCCAGTGTGGCTGCACCAGTTGCATTTCCAACACCCCAAAATATATAATCCAGTTAAGAAATGAGAAGAAGACATGAACAGACATTTTTCCAAAGAAGACATCCAGATGGCCAACAGACACATGAAAAGATGCTCAACATCACTCAGCATCAGGGAAATACAAATCAAAGCCATAATGAGATACCACCTCATTCCTGTAAGAATGGCTAAAATGGAATTAAAATTAAAATTCCTAAGGAGATATTCAATGGCTCACTATGGCCTGTGGAGAAATCTACATTCCTTAGCCTTGAACTCAAGACCCTGTCTTATTTGGCTCAATCATCTATGGACTCTTCTTCCAATATTCTTCCCAACTCATAAAAACTTTGCTGCAACCAGGTGCATCTCCTCAATGAATGTCAGACATATCTGACTGGGCCATTCCTGTCTCCCCTTTTTTTCTTTGGGGTTATTATCCCCATTTAAAATCTCTTCCATTCTGCTGTCCAAATATGTAAGTCCTAGTCACTCCCCAACAACCTGTTCAATTTCTACTTCTCATATAAAAGCTTCTCTGGTGAACATTTAACCAGATCGATCATTCATGTACACACTTATAGATTCTTCCAGCAAACAGACAAACTGTTGTGGGCAAGACACCTTGCTAAGCACTTTGGGTCAGTTGGAAGAATTTGGAGGTTAGTAGGGCAGATAAGTCACACACAGAAAATGGTAGGAAGAGAACATTGTTGTTAGACAGATACTGATAAAATATTACAGTATTTCAGAGGAAGGCATATGATTTCCTTGGGAAGTGGTTGGGAAAAGTTTAATTTTGAAGGCCAAGAAGGACCTAAATAGGTTGAAGAAAAGAACAATTCAGGCAGCAATAAATAAAGATACAAAAGGGGACCACAGGGAAAAGGTGTGTGGTTGGCTGTCACATAGGATGCATAAGAAGGATAGTGTTGGGTGGGAGGGATACTGACTTGGAGAGAACCCTGGAGTGGCCTGCTGTGCACTGATCTCTTCTCCTGTTTGTTGGTAGGTCAATATACACTTCACTGCATTCTTATGCATTGCCTTGTCTTTGTCTTCCTATTTGCTAATGTCTTATTTCTTAAATGTGTTCAAAAAGCTGGAATTATAATAAGCCTGTTTGGTTCTCCACATCACACACGGTGTTCAGCAGTGCCACACATACCCTCAGCTAAAAATCTGTGAGATGCTTTGTGTGCCTTGAGAGTCCTAGGTCGGGAATGAGATGAGCAGATACACATGATTTGGAAAAGTCATCTGACAGTGGAAGGTGGAAACGGCTGGGGAGTAGAAGGTGAGACAGGAGATCAGGAAGCCAGTGCAGAAGTCAGGATGGGAAATGGGGAACCCCTAAATAAAGGTGGTGACTGTATGAATAAGGAGGTGGAGATGGTCCTTAGGGGCAGCCACTGAGAGACACAGATGATGAAATAGGGAGCTGGTTGCACGAGGAGCAAAGTGATGGGGGTTAAGGAAATGCAACTTGATTTCCTTCCCTTTTTTAAAGATGTATTTATTTATTTTAGAAATAGAGAGAGTTTGTGAGTCGGGGGAAGGGCGGAGGGAGGGAATCCTCACATTGACTCCCCACTGAGCATAGAGGCTGACATGAGGGCTCCATCCCATGACCCATAAGATCGTGACCTGAGCCAAAACCAAGAGTCAGACACTCAACTGACTGAACTACCCAGGCACCCCTTGATTTCCTTCATATGCAGCTGACCAGATGGCAGTGTCATTGGTTAAATGAGGAAAATACAATGAAAGACTGAATTTTCATTTATTGGCTTGGTGGAAGGGAAGTTTGGAAGAAGCTGTGAGTGACTCTGAATGAGCATTAGAGGGTCTTGCACAGGAGCTTTACCTCCTTGCTCTTCTTCTCTCACTGCCCTCTCAGACCCTGTGAAGTGGGGAAACAGGACAGAGGAAGAGGAGGGGACAGCGGGCTGAAGACTACTCTGAGACCTGCACTGAGCCTGGCCTGTTAAGTACTTGATCTGACTGAAAGCCCTGGCAACACTTCCCAGTCCCTGCTGCAGACGGGGTGCTAAGGCTCAGGGAGACACATCACCCCAGGTCCCATCTGCTTGGTTTCAGAAGGCCTCTTCTTCACCAGTCTCCTGGTATCTTCATGCCAGAGCCATTTTATTAGCAAACATCTCAATGTGGTTCTCTGCTCTTTTCTAGGCTTCCATCTTTACCACAGACTACCAGGCCTCATGCCAGAAAGCTGCCTCCTCATCATCGTTGGGGCTCTGGTGGGCGCCATCATCTTCGGCACTGACCATAAATCTCCTCCCGTCATGGATTCAAGCATCTACTTCCTGTACCTCCTTCCACCCATCGTCCTGGAGGGTGGTTACTTCATGCCCACCCGGCCCTTCTTTGAGAACATTGGGTCTATCCTGTGGTGGGCAGGCCTGGGGGCCTTGATCAATGCCTTCGGCATTGGCCTCTCTCTCTACCTCATCTGCCAGATCAAAGCTTTTGGCCTCAGTGACGTCAACCTGCTTCAGAACCTGCTGTTTGGCAGCCTGATCTCAGCCGTGGACCCGGTGGCCGTGCTGGCTGTGTTCGAGGAGGCGCGTGTGAACGAGCCACTCTACATGATGATCTTCGGGGAGGCCCTTCTCAATGACGGCATTAGTGTGGTAAGATGTCAAAGCGTGTCCCCAGGGAGAGCAGGGGTCAGGGTGGACCTGGAGACAGGAGTCTGTCCTCAGGGCAATTGGAGAAGGCTGAGCGGGACTGGGTCTTGGCTAGGCAGGGATAGGCTTTGGTCAATGCAATGTGACCCAAGTTCTGGTGACTTCCCTTATGACCTGCATCAAGTATATAATTACTTGCTAATAATGCTTTTCATTCAGTAGCCAGATGACCTCTTTAAAGAGAGAAAAAGTAGAAGACATATCTATCATTGTTTAGTTAAACTCAAGTTTTCACTTAGCAAGAGGGAACTGCTGTCGAGGGCTTATCTGGTTTTCACACTGGGATAAATAGTACTTCACCATTTTTCTTTTCTCTCATTCACTGGACCTCATCCTCCTTCTCTTTATGTACTTTTTTTTAAATTTTATTTTTTATAAACATATAATATATTTTTATCCCCAGGGGTACAGGTCTGTGAATCGCCAGGTTTACACACTTCACAACACTCACCATAGCACATACCCTCCCCAATGTCCATAACCCCAGCCCCCCAACCCCCCTCCCCCCATCAACCCTCAGTTTGTTTTGTGAGATTAAGAGTCACTTATGGTTTGTCTCCCTCCCAATCCCATCTTGTTTCATTTACTCTTTATGTACTTTTTGTTCGTTTGTTTTACTTGTTGCATGAGATGATGAAGTCAAATAAAAGATGGGGTAGGAAGGGAATTGAAAAGGATTTGCAAAAGTACTTGGCTGGTGTATCTGTCTTGATTGCCTGGCTCCTCCAGAATATGTGAATGAGGCAATTTTGCTTTAGGACTCCCGGAGAGAAGCTGAGAAAAATTTAACAGGCTGAGTCAACACATAGTGTTAAGGCCCAGAAGATATCTTTGGTGCTGGGATAGTCAGACTAGACACTCGCACTCCTTAGTTGTGTTACATTACTACAAACCTTCACCAGGTGTTAGTCTAGGAGGCTTTTGTATATAGTTTGATTTCCCTTCCTAACTTTAAATTTCTATCACATCACATGATACTAGAATGCACTTTCAGTGTAGAAGACTCAAACGGTGCAAAATTACACAGCATAAAAACACAAAATCCTCCCCTTGTCCCTCTCCTCACTGTCTACAGTAACTCTGATCAGTCTGGCTTTTCCTTCCCTGTATTTATTATATGTGTATATGTATATAAGTGTATATGCACACACACATATGTGTAGGTGTATATTATTTTGCATAAATTGGGTGCGATTATATGTATTGCTTAAATATAACAAGTCTTGGAATTCATTCTATGTCATTTTAATTGTTAGGTAGTGTTTCACAGATTACATTGACGATAATTTATTTAACCATTTCCTCACAGATGGATATTTAGGTTGCTACCAATTTTTCACCTTTATTTTGTTTTCTTTTTTTTTATTTCTCTTAAAAAATAGGATGTTGTATTGAATATTCTTGTTTCTGCATGCATCTCTTTTTGTTTGTGAGGGTTTTTATAGGCTATATTGTCAGAAGTGAAATTTCGAAAGTGAATACCTTCAAAAATTTGAAAGATGCTGCTGTTTTAATCACCTCCTCTTCATGGGGTTGATGAGGGAAGGGTTCCTGCCCCAGGGATAGAAGTGACGGCCCACCATAAAGAGATGACACCAACTAGTTGCATATACTCACAGCCCAGGGGAGGAGGACACTGCACACAACATAGGGCCACATGGGTGCTACACGTGGGAACAGAGGGAACAATCAGGGGTATGGGAGTAAGGCTTTGTTGTAGCAAGAAGAGAGGTGCCTCCTGGTTCCCACAGGATGACGTGATTGGTTTGTTTTACAAAACTCCACAGGCTGTCAGGAGATTGACACCTAATACTCAGGGATGAGCAGGTATGGCACCCAGTCCCAGCAGTAAGGAGGGCTTTTTGGCCAGCAGGCAATCAGACTGGGGAGGAGAGTTTGCAGTTACATGATTGAGGACCCTCCCAGCTTTACCAAATGCCTAGGTAGCACATAACATTGGATCTTAATTTAAGTCTTACACCATAGCTGCTAGAATTTTCTGGAAACACCTTATGGACTTATATTTTCCATAGACAGTGCATTTAAATATTAGTATATTAAGTATTTTCTTTATTGAAGCCCACAACGACATTGCTTCTTAATGTTTTCGAATCAAATGAGCAAAAATGGGTTAGGCATGTTTGTTTAATTTGCATACATCTCTTCCATGATCTTGGATCATTAGTGTTTTTCATGTTGTAAATTGGAGGTTCATATCCTCTTACAGTTGCCAGACTTTAAAAAAAAAACAACAACTGAGGACACCCAGTTAAATTGAAATTTCATATAAACAATGAATTTTTTTATAAGTATGTCCCAGTTATTGTATGCAAGTACCACATCCTGTCCGTTTTCTTTGCTTTTTTTAATTTTTTTTAATTGATTTGTAGAAACTCACTAAATTATCTAAATTTGAAAACTTTGAGTATTACATGCAAATCAAATACTTTCTCTCATTCTGTCACTTAAAATTTTTTAGACTATGATTTTTTTTATCCTATAAAAGTTTTAAATTTTTATGAGCTCAAACTTAATGTACTCTTTTATTGCCTCTGCAATTCATATCTTGTTTGCTGAGATTGTATCTAACCAAAGAACATGCAAACATTTTTTTTAAGATCTTATTTATTTATTTTACAGACAGAGAGTGAGTGCCAGCCGGGGGTGGGGCAGAGGGAGAGATAGAATCTCAAGCAGATTCCTGCTGAGTGCAGAGCCTGGTGCAGGGCCTGATCTCGTGACCCTGAGATCATGACCTGAGCTGAAATCAAGAGTTGGCCACTTTACGACTGAATCACACCCCACAAACATTGTTTTGTTTTGTTTTGTTTTCACCTTTTACAATTAGCTATTTAATTCATCTGGTACACAATGCTTTATAGCGAGGACTTCATGCGAAAGTAGAAAGGGCAGGGACAAAAGTCTCCTAAAAAGTAATCAAAAGACATCTAGGTTGGATTCACCAAGTGAAGGAGACCCGTACATGAAGTTGGAAGTCAGTTTATTGATTCATAATGCGAATCTCTAACCGTTTAAGAAGATGCTGAACTCATTAGGGCTCCATAGTCTTTCCTTCTGGGCAGGTTCCACAGGAAGCCAAGTTGTCAGAAACTGAGAGGGGAGGCTGGGAGTCCAGACTCCAGACTCCTGCCATATGTCTCAGAATCACCTCAGTGATTCACCTCATGAATATTTGGATGTCTAAACCCCATCTCAGACTCTCTGAGAATGGAACCTGGCAATCTGTATTTTAACAGGCACCTCTGATGATTGTTGATACTTGAGAACTCTTGGTTTCCTGCCTTTAAGTTGAGAGTACCTACTGTATCTTGATGTAAAATAGTGCTATGTTTGGAACAAGGGCAGCTCTCTCCTCACACTGGGCTGGATTGACTCTGAGATCCCCTTTCCTCACCCCATTCTGTCTTTAGATATTTTCATCCTTTCAGTGTTCTTACAATGGAGTAAGTGGCCTCAGCTGGGAGCCTATCCACTCCCACGATGGCCCCTTTAAGCCATGAGGTGTTCATTTCACAGTTCACCTTCCAAAGATTTCACTTAAATCTAAGTTATTGGGTGTTACTTGCTTACTGTAACTCCCACAGCGTCACTGAGGAGGCTTATCTGTGATAACATCAAAGGCACCTCTTGGCAGGCCATTCTGAGGTAATTAACTCTTCAACCTTTCCTTCACCAGTGCCTTTCCAAATATCACTTCTTGTCATTTTCCCAGAATGTGCTATTTATAGCACTGGACTCTGTTACCTCTTTGGTGTTGCCTCTGAACTTGAGAATCTGACGTCCCCCTGAATTTTCTCTTGATTTTACATCTAGAGCCAATCACAGCTTGGTTTCTGGTCAGAGTTTCTTGGCTAACAAGATTTGTTTGACTTTCCCAAAGTTTAATTTTTTCCACTTGGGCTTTTTTTTTTTTTAATGATCATTTCAAAATAAAATTACAATTTTCAACTGACCACAGTATCTGCTGAGGGCACTGCTGTGACCTCCAATGGGCCAAGCTGTTGTGTTGGCTGCAGGAGGGTCGCCCACATGTCACTCCTGGGTCACTCTGTGGTTGCCCACAGCACAGTGAGTATTAAGTGTGTGCTGGGGCACTTCTGTGACCCAGTGTGAAACCAGAGGAGCTCCAGGGCCAGATTTAGAAGGCAGTTTGAAAGCAACTGGTATTTAATGCAGTCCAGTTGTATTTTGAGCAAAGGCCCTTGAACTCACCCTTTCATTGAGGAAGGGGCCTTCCTGAGGGCAGCAGTCACAAGCATGCTCTTTCAGCAGAAAGTCTGAGTCATCGGGAAAGCGATCTGTGATTTGTGGGTTACATGTGACAACTCCACAGATCTTTATCCACTGAACAGATGCTTTCTCAGTAAAGAAGAGCTGTTCTAGAACTGTCAAAATACCAATTGGACCCTCCAGGTCTCTTGTCCACCCTTAGTGGGGGCAAAGGGAGCAGAGACAAAACCCTAATATGATCACTAGCACCCCTTGTTGAACGACATGGCCAAAGTCATAGCAAGGAGCTATATCCAGCTAGTATATCCAGGCCCTGGGTGGGATCACTTCAACCCTTATTATTTTATTAAATTCTTGCATTTTACTATGACACATGACTTAACAACCCCATTTCACAGATGAAGAAAACAAGGCAAAGGAAGTTAAAATAAATTGAACAACGGCATTGTTGCTTGACAAAGGACAGTCTGGACAAGACACACAGCTCTGCCCTATTCCGATCTTTTTCCTTGTATTCTTACCTCTTGCCTTTCTTCCTTTTCTTCCTCTTTCTTCCCTTCTTCCCCTCCCTCTCTTCCTTCCTTCCTTCCTCCCTTCCTTCCTCTCTCTTTCTCTCTAAAGATTTTATTTTTAAGTAATCTCTACACCAAGCATGGGGCTTGAACTCACAACACCGAGGGCAAGCGTTGCCT